AATACACACATGCTTTCAATTGTGTAATTTATGTGATCTAGTAGCTCTGTTTTGGAAGTTCAGTTCATGCTAGAAATGTGTTTTGAAGTTTGTACGTGTTTTGTCTCTAGGGGCCACCGCATATATTTATATATAAACATATATAAATAAAACCACTTTTTTTACGTTAGTAATTCTTTTGTGCATAATTTTATATTATTGTGAATAATAAATTAATTAAAGCAACAAAACAACCTGAAGAGCCGGATCGGAGCCGAAAGAGCCGGCTCTTTTTAGTGAGCCGAGCCGAATCTCTAAAAAGAGCCGGAAATCCCATCACTACCTGCAATAAACTGGCAGCCTGTCTTTGTCCTGTATCAGCTGGGATAGGCTTCATCCTCCCGCAACCCTGAATTGGATACATTGTATTCCAATTATGTAATCTGATCATTTACAAACTCAAGGTATCTAATCAAAATGTAAGTAATAATTATAAAATGGGAAAGCAGAAATAAGTGTGACACATTTCTAGCGTTAACTGAACTTCCAAAACAGCTACCTAGATCACTTAATAAAAGTGTATTATTTGTGTATTTATACACAAACACTCATATATATTCAAATAATTTAAAAAAATGTTCATTTACCTGTTACTACCACACATCAAATCTGGTCATTGTTACTTCCTGGCTTGTGTAGCCACTAGGTAACAAAAGCTCAGCACTGCACCCAGCATCCTTTATTTGTTTATTTATTTTTGAATAGATAGAATAAACTGTAGAAAACTAAACAGCGGGAAGAAGAGAAATAAAAATTTTAACATAAACCAGTGACACACTCCGGGGCCTGATAAACCCTGGCAGGGCCTCCTTGGATGAGGGTGTCTAGTGATAATGGCTGAAACACCCGATGAATCCAAGGTCCACGAGGTGTCCCAAATTTTAATATGACAATTTGGATCAGATCTCTAATCCCTAAACCTAACCAAGGAAAAATGGCAGATTAGCTTGGGTAAAAGAAAGAAAGTTGAGGCACACAACGATGTGTGCCACTGGTAAAGTTTCTGGGCTGCTTTTCCTCATAACAGCCATCCCTCAAGATTTTCTCCATTTAAAGCAATGCATTGTCAGGGATTGTAACATCTAGTCCTTTTACTGAATTTTTAGACCATGAGTTTGCATAATTTTTTTAATTCAGATTACTAGTGAGATTTTACAGTGTGGATTATGTGAAATTTAAGAGTACATCCATGGGAATGAAGCATTTAAATTCAAAGACCAGTTTGATTCCATTCTTAAGATTTTAATGATGAAAAAGATGAGAAACAACTCATTCCGGGAAATAAAGTTTTGCTAAAAGCATTCTTTCAAGTACACATGCAATATGCTCCTGTGAAAAGAGCTACTCCAATTTATGTCACTTGTCGCGTCATTCCTTATGCAGCATTACAGTAAAAGAAACGGGGTAAATCAAATTAGTATCAGATTCTTTTGGTGATAAATGAGATCATTTGCTTTGTCGTCAGGTGGGCCAAGCCTTCATGACAGACCAGGGATCATCCAATGGTCCTGACACAAATAAATGGGAGTTTGGTGTAACATGTCCCATCATTCCAACAATTGCGTTCTGTAAGTACACAAAATCCACATGAACTGAAACCATGATCACATCATGAAATAATTACTGATCTAATAATTTTGTTGTACATAACAATAACACCTGATACATACATGTTTACTGTTACATCAAAAAACTATGTAAATATTCAATATGAGTTTAAAAAAAAGAAAAGAAGCACTGCTGTCTTTGCCAAAAAGTAAATGACAGAATTTGTTTTACATTTCTGTTACTCATTACTGTTTGTCACATTAAATGCATAAAGATTGTTACAGAAATTGTGGGTATTGTTTTCTTTTTTTCCTCTAGTATTTATAGTGCTAATACGTTGTACTTTCAGGGATTTCTCAGATTTACCTGAATAATTCACCAGTAAGCAATGCTCATTTCTGTCATAGTTGTTAGGTTCTCCCTGACACCATTCCGCATATGTGAAATGGGTTCCATCCAAACAAAACCAGTAATTCTCCTAGAAAAGAGAAAAAGTAGACAATAATACTGTCATGTTTTGGCTGTGCAGCAGGCAAGATGGAGGACCCAGTTGCAGCACACAGAGACAGAGAGTTAAACTTAGGGCCCAGCTGTATTGCTGGAAAACTCTTTATAGAAATAACCATTACAAAAACAAACCAAAATCTCAAATGCAGGACTAGAGCCTGAGAACAGGAACCTAAACATTAAGAAAGTCCCCTGGGAAATACTCAGGACACGAAGGGAGAAGACACAGCACAAAGAGATTGTGCAGGTTAATGACACCACAACGAGGAGGGGAATACACAGACACCAAATACAAGAGGTGAACAGGGCAAAGACGAAACAGCTGAGAGGCACGGCTGACATTAATTATACAGACGAGATGGGGGCGAGCAAAACAGAACATTACTCACTGACAACAGAGACTATCAAAGTAAAACAGGAAGTACACAGAGACCCAGACTAACTAGGGGAGCAGAGATGCACAAGGAGACAAGACTGACCTAACAGGGGAGGAAACACAGAGGCAAGACCAAGACTATAAATATAGAATAAGCTCAAGAGTTCATATAGTGGTTAGGAAATATAAAATACACAGAGAACCTAACAAAATAAACAAGACTCGAGAGGGAATCTAACCAAGGAATTAAACAGGGAATACAGGACACTCAAAACAGCACAACTAAGTCAACCACTACCTACAATATAAAGGACCTTGAGGCAGTTGTTGTTGTGATTGTGCACCATAGAAATAAAAGGAAATTGAATTAAATGGGTAGACTAATCTTTTAACTGTCAGACCTTGTATAATTATAAGTGATATACCTCTTGACCATCTGAGCCACCAATCCATGTTTCTCCACTTGCATGAGTGGCCCTAGATATGAGGTGTTGAATGAACTGATACTCTTTGCTGCTGTGTATACATGGGAGGTCTGCATTCATGAACTCACAGAATCTCTACAATGGAGATCAACAGCAGAGATTATAGAAACAACCTCGTAAACAGAAAGATTTAAGATTTCACAAGGAATGAATGATAAATTCCCACCACCTGCGCCTGAGCCCAAGTCATTTGATGATGATTGTAGAGGAAGCATCGATTCCAATACTGAGTCCATCCGCTTGGACAAGATGCTGCTCTCTTCACAACATGATGTTCTCCTGAAGATAAAGAACATTAAGTTGCATAACTCAATGTTCTTTGATTGGAAAAACAAAATTGCCTTGTTTCTTACAGTATGGATTTTCATGAAAAATATGTTTTTATCTAAGTATTTATCAGTATTTATAAGTGTATAAGTGTTAAATATTAACTTTTTTAGCTATAAACTTACCTGTCCATCATACATGAAAACAAATTTATGAAAACTGACACAGGAAAACTGATGTACTCTTCCTCTGTTCAGCATGATAGAAATGTGGTTAGTTTGGGTGGAAAAAAATAAAAAATGTCCATTGACCTGCTGGAATTAATGCCTCTGTCCCATTACTGGCCACTTGAGGTGAAAGTTATTAACAAATTACGACAGCAAATTTTGATTTTAATCTGGGGAGTTGTTGCTCAAAGAACTGCCAATTACATCACACTTGCTTTTACATTGTTTTTCTTTCAAAACTTGATCGGCTTGGTGCTTTCTTCTGCAGGACAGGCTGGCTCTCTGGATGGTTAGAGGTCAATCAATGATGAAGGCGGGGCAGGACGGTGGTGGAGAATCGGGGGAAAATTGGATGGCATCCTATTTTTGTGTACTGGACACTTTAAATATGTGGTCTTTCCTACCTGAAATATTTTTACCATGTCATGTATTGGCATGTCATCCATGCATAAAATATGCTGTGAAAGAGGATACTCTTTCAGTTAATTCCAGACTTGCTTGTTTTAATCAGTTATTATCTTGGCATTAAATTCCTGCTTTTAACAGACGTTCTCCTGGGGGTGCAGTACATGAGTAATGGGTTATAGAGGATGAAGTCCCTTAATGCAGCAAATAATATTTTCTGTTGAAAATGTAAGAAAATGTTTAAAACTAGAGAATTTGAGATATTTTAATGAATTTAGAGTGCAGTGTCTCTGCTCATATGAGTGAATGGAGCTCACCTATCAGACTGTCTCACTTTCTTAGCTACATCCCAGTAATTAATCCATTAAGACTACATTTGTTTAATTACACTTTGGATTCCAGTGTTTAAGTGATTGTGATGACCAATATAGACCATCCAATCAACAAATATAAAAAAAAAGAAAAGAAAAAAAAAACCCCAGGTGCATTTAATAAATAGAAGCTTTATTATCAAAAACATTAATTTGCTCATTACAAATGACTGGTTCATAAAAACACAGCAATCTTGCAACTCAGTGCTTAGAAGCACCTGGTAAGTGACCTGTTGAAACTGATGTGAAGTGCACTAAAACATCATCTAGTCCTGGACATGTGACCTAGGTCTTTTAAGAAACAGCTCAACACAATGTCCAAACATCAATATCGCGCTTTGCATCGCTATTTCTGCAGAAATAGGTTTCCTCAAAAATGTAGGAGTCCTTGATTCTCCTATAGAAACTGATTCTTGTGAATCCTTGAGAAGGGGTACACTGTCCTTTGTTTACAATCTTTTGTTATTATTTATCATTGAAAATCACCACAGCAGTATCTGATTTGGAATAGTTTTATGCCAGATGGTATGGCAATTCTCCAGCTGGAATTGAACCAGCAACTTTTTGTATGCTTGGCAAATGAAAACTTTTCTGGTTTTGGGTATCTTTAAACTTTTAATTATATTTTGTAATGATCAATGCTCTACCATGTAGAGATGGCACGATACCACTTTTTTATGTCCGATACCGATATCATAAATTTGGATATCTGCCGATACCGATATGAATCCGATATAGTGTTTTTTAATCAACAAAACTGTTTTTAAAATATCTTTCTGCATTTTGTATAAGTTCATACTCAAGTTTAAA